TAGGAAATTGTCCAAGCAATATATATTGCTAATAATAAAAATAGACTTTGGGAACTAAGGGAGGTTTTTTAACGGGGGGGGGGGGTAGGGGATGAGGGCTTGGGCTTTAGAGGGGAGGATCATCAGTAATAATCTAAACTTTTTGAAGGGTCTTCAATTTTTTTATTTTGACAAGTTGTTTCCTTCTCTTGTTGACTTTTAATTAGCCTGCTTCATGGCATCCGAAATTTGCTTCTTAAACCAGTAACAAAGAAAATTCCGGATGCAACGCAGGCTAATTTTATAATCATGTATTTTTACTGAGTGAGATTGGAGAGGCGTACAACCACTTAAAAAAGTTTACTGGGAATTCCCCAGTCCCCCTCCCCCCAATAAATACTTACGCTTCCTTTAGTAAATGATGATAAATTGACGTCTTACTAGGCCCATCGAATACCTGAACAGAAATACAGGCTGAGATGTCCGCTACCACCAATCAGCTTCAGCTTGGCTTTGACGTCTTTGCTTTAATCTTTGGTGGCCTTGGCAACAGCCTCGTTATCGCAGTCATATCGAACAAAAACCAAAAGAACGTCAATGATGTCTTCATAATYAATCTTGCCATTGCTGATGTCATGTTCATATTAATGAGTATTCCTGGTGACGTSATGAGAGTTCTRGCTATAGCACCGCATTCGTTGCTCTATTGTTCGACAGTCCGACCCCTCGTAACCATGTTCTTTTGCCTTGGCTTGTTTACCATAACCGCAATGTCCATCTATCGATGTTACGTCATTGTTCATCCGTACCGCCCCAAGATGAAGTTCATGTACGCGTATATCTGGATACTTATTGTGTGGGCTCTTTCTTTTATGACATCGCTACCTGCTATTATCGTAGCATCTGTATCGACACGAGGTCGTTGCGAGGGAACATGGAAATCTCGAAAGTACAAAGACGCTTACATCATATTTTTACTTTTAGCAAAATGCATCATTCCATTGTTGCTCATCACGATTGCTTACACCAGGCTTGGCTTCTTTCTCTATCACAATAAACCACCTCAAACAGAAAACAGCGCTTCAAACCAGAAAAGAAATCGAATCGAAAACATCAAGAYTGTGAAAACCGTTGCTGCAATTGTGTTGTTGTTCGCAGTGTGTACGACTCCACATCAAACAGGCTGGGCCTTGCTTCAGTTCGGAGACGAAGAAGAAAAACAAAAAGGTAAATCCATATTACGAATAAGTCCCATTATCCAGAACCTTCACACGTGYGTGAATCCACTCATATATGCTATATCGAGAAGGTATTACAGGCAAGAATACATTAAGTATCTCAAAAMGTTTTGCTGTGCCTGCTGCAAGTGGAGCTCAACAGGTCGTGTCGATCCTAGTACCTGCGACGATTTAACTCAGCTGCCAAATCATWYAACACATGCGAGATGCCATGAAAATGGGGAAGCATCCGGTGGAGATGTTGCTCAGCTTGACAACAGAACGGTATTGTGAGATAAAGACAGAAAAGAAACGACTTTATTTGAAATGATGCCCCTTTTAGTAGAAGATGAAACCATCATTACCACTATGCATCAATCATCATCATCATCATCATGCATCAATTATCATCATCATCATCATCATGCATCAATCATCATCACCATGCATCAATCATCATCACCATGCATCAATCATATCATCATGTATCAATCATCATCATCATGCATCATCATCATCATCACYACTATGCATCAATCATCATCACCATGCATCAATCATCACCACCATGTATCAATCATCATCACCATGCATCAATCATCATCACCATGCATCAATCATATCATCATG